AGTGAGAAGGAGCAGGAAGTAGAGCAAAAGAGATTAGAAGCTGAGATTAGGAGTAATTTAATTAGAGAACAAGGGGAGAAGATAAGGGGGCAAGAGAAGCAGATTAGTAATTATCAGCAATTATTAAGAACTGCTGAAAGTAATCTTAAAAAGGGACAAGAATTGCTAAATAAGAAAGAAAAAAAATTGGAGGAGTTGGAAAAAGAGAAGAATTTGATTGGGGAGGAATTATCTTTAGCAAATAGCAAAATCCAAGAGTTAGAATCGACCTTGTTGGCGGCCAATGGTAAAATCTCGCGATTAGAAGCAAAAATCAAGGAATTAGAAAGCAAACAGGAAAATTCTTCCGAGTTAGAAAGGTTGAAAAAAGAACTTGCGACCGAGAAGCAAAAAAGTCAGCAGGAGAAATCTAAACATATTCAGGAGATAAATCGTTTAAAAAGTGAGTTGACTGCCACGAAGAAGCGTGAGGAGGAGTTGGCGGAGAAGATAAAGGAGTTGGGGAAAACAAAGCAAAAAGCAGTCCAAAATACTGAAACTGCTTCTTTTTGACAAACAATTAAGCAACCGCTTCTTTACACAGCAGGAATTGCCTTGGTGCTAATTGTTATGGGGTGAATTTGGAGTAAATTATCTGAGTAAATATGGTAGGGATTTTGATTTTAGTTTTAATAATAATTTTGCTATTGTTAGGAGTCACTTGATTATTTGCTCCCCAAAAACCAAAAAATACTCCAATTACAGAAGAAGTTAATGATTGAGAATATCAAAAAGAACAAGCGAGGCGAGAAAGTGAAGCCGAAAAGAATAAAGAGTGATTTAAAGAGGGGAGATGATTAACTGATAAAGAGATTGATTGGGCAACTGCAAGGATGGAAAAAGATGAGAGATTTAAAATTTTGCCTGCTCATCAGTTCCATCTGACTAAGGAAGCCAAAAGAAAAGATGATCCGTTGATTTTCAAGGAATTGTTAACTGAGATAAATGACAGTAGTAAAGAACTAGTTTTTATTCCGGCAAATCAGCCTAACTTCCATTGGAGTTTGTTGGTTTATCAGGTAAAAGAGAAAAGATTTTACCATTATGATACGCTGGGAGGGGCTAATTATCAATATACCCAGCCCTTAGTGAGGGAATTGTTGGAGCAGATTAGAGGAGTGAGGGGTAGTAAGGAGGAGTATTTGGAGGAGCGTTTGATTAAACAGCATGGGATTAGGCAGGGTAATGGTTCTGATTGCGGGGTAGCAGTTATTGCTATTATAAGGAGGATTATTGAGTTAAATAATCAGAGATGAGTGGAGAGATTGAAGTATGGAGTTTTTAGGTGTGGGGATGATATAGGGGGGATGGATTTTGAGAAAGAACGTCAAGAACTCCGGGAAAAATCTTTACAAGAGAGTAATTAATTTATCTGATAAACAATAATGCTTATTAGATAAGGGGAGAGTAGCTTCTCTCCCCAAATTTTTAATTATTGACTTTGGGTGGAACTTCTACTTGTTTTATCTGCTCTTCAAGAAATTTATTCTTGTTCTGTTCTCTTTCTAGTTGGCGTTCTAGGTTTTGAATAGCATGCTTCTTTTGACTTGACTGTTCGAGGTTTAATTGATTACCATCGCAAATCAATCTTTCTAAACGAGGACAACCACTAGCATCCAATTCAGCAAGTCTGTTATTACTACAATCTAAATAGGCCAGTTTTCTCAATTTTCCCAAAGTCAACTTTCTTAAATTATTAGAACTGCAATTAATCTTTTTCAAATTGGGGCAATCACTTAAATCTAACTCAGTGAGAGAATTGCCTCAACAATTAAAATTCTCTAAATTAGTAAATCCTTCAAATTTTAAAGAACCCTCCAAATTAGTGATTGCTCAAATGTCTAATTCTCTTATTTCCGCCCTCTTTTTTTCTGTATTAAATGAAAGCATGTGAAGAGATATATTAGGCAATCCCTTATACACTCCACTTTTAGGATAATTCTCGTCCAATCATTGCTGTGCGTTTACCATGTTATTTTTTTAAATTATCTTTTATTTTGCTAATTCTGTTTTGGGTTGTCATTCTAAGTAGCAGTGAACTTTTTTACTGCTGCATCTTTTACTTTGCTTTATCATTACCTTTTAAAATTTTCAACTTTCTGCTTCAATTTCAGCTTTCCTTTGAGCAGTTTTGAATTCTTCAAGTTCTTTCAACTCTTCAACTATAGTTTCTTTAACTCGCTCTAGAGAGACTCGTGAGTCTCAATCAAGTTTTCTTCTTTCAATAATTTCTTCTATGGTATTTATCGCTACAACTCCGTTCTTAATTATTTTTAGTCTTTTATTTAATTGGTCTAATTTTTCATTATTCATAATATTAAATCCTGTTTTTTAATAAATAAGTTGTTAAAGGTAAGGTAATATAATTCAGCAAAAAGCCAACGTTGCTTATAAAAATATGACATTATATCCACTACTTAGGGTCTATCAATATCTGTGTTTCTTGTTTCATAGACTCAAAATTCTTTGTGATAATTTTGTTTAATTCCTCAACTAATTTTGTTTTTGTCTGCTTTTCGCTGTCTAGTGCCGCTTTCAATTTTTCTATTTCTTTCGCTTGTTGTTGATTTTCTGATTTTAACTCTTCCAGACTTTTGCTTTTTCGTTCAATTAGTTTTACTACATTAGAATGTTGCCTCTTTAATATGTCTATCTGCATGCCATTCATTCTTTCTAGATCTATCTCTATTAAATCGCTAATTCCTCAAGTATTAAAAGGGCGTGCATCACTACAAGTTATTTTATTCAATTCTCTTACTCCTGTTCAGTCAACGTACGAGTCTTCAAACTCTATTTCAATGTAATCATCACGTAATTTGACAGATTTGACTCTCGATCTAAACTTTTTGCCCTTGTCTAACTGTCGTCGTGCCTCGACCATGAGCAATTGTGTCATAAAACTTCCGATCATATCTTCTCTTGACAATCCTCCGCCGCTATCTATTATTATTCTTGTATTTTCTGTTTTCTTACTCTCGTGATATTCTCTTCTTAATTGTTCTTCATCTCCTTCTTCCAAAAATCAATCAGCATCTTTATTTTTAATGAATTTTAATCAATGAGCAAAGGGAGCATCAGTTGGCCGTAAACCATTTTCTAATCATTTCTTTGTCTCTTTCTTATTAAAATTGCAAGTTATTCAAATTTCAGTTAATTCTTCGTTAAATTCTTTAAATGGATATTTATTTTCTTGTCAATTAGTCATATTATTTTTAATTTATTATAGTTTAATAGTTAATTACTACTTTTCTTAAATTTATTTTCCGCTGAAAAGTTAAAAAGGTTCGGTTAATTGCGAACCAAAGTAAACCAAAAGCGGAAATTAATTATTAAAAAAGTAGTATTTATGTAAAATTATTAAAAAAGGGAGTTTTTGAAATTCCCTTTATTTGTTTCATCTCATCACACTAAGAAACTATACACCTTCAATTAAGCAATTCTCGGGCTTGTTGCTCAATCCTGGCTTCTAGTTCAGTTAATTTGCTTTGGTTTCTTCGCCTTTCCTCTTCATACTTTCTTTTTTCTTCCTCAGTTCTTAATTTTTCTTCTCCTTTTACTCTTTCTAATTCTTCCAATCTTTCTTGCAATTTCTCTTTTTCAGTCATGTAACTACCAACTCTATCATTTAATCTGTCTAAACCAGCGGGTCTATAATTGCCACAATCATTTACCAAATGCTTCAGTAATACTTGTCTTGAAACCTCTCTATCTTTTCTTGCAACTGTTATTTTGTCAGGCCGTCCACCAATTGGTATAGGGGTATTATCGACATAAATTAGTCTATTACATGACCTAATAAATTCTGCTAATTTTGGATTTTCCTCATCTAGCTTTTTTCTATCCGCCGCACAAGCTTCCTCTTTCTCAAATTCAGTAAATCCTGTTCGCACAATTGTTGTAAAATTAGTAATTTCCTCATTAAAAATAACTGATCTTAGTAAATTATAAGTTTCCAACTCTTCTTCGGTAAATTTTCCTCTTATTACAAAAAAAATTTGATTTAAACCCTTACTTACTTCATGGCAAGCCTCAGATACTCGATTTAACACTTCCCGAGGAGTCAATTGCGTATCACCGATACCAATGGTATCAATTACCCGATATTTTATCTTCTCACTATTTATTTCTATTTCAAACTCTTCTTTTTGTATTTTTCTAGTTTCGCTAGTGCTTCCTGAACTCTCTTTAAATACTTCTTCAAACTCATTATTTTTGTTGACTAAAGTATTAGCCAATGTTGATTTTCCGTTTCCGGTTCTGCCGATTAGCAGTATATTTCTTGCTTCTGTCATACTTTAAAATATTTATTTTTGCTTTATATTATTTGTTGTAATTTGTATTAGGGAAGCGGATTACTCCTCCACCAACTTCTATATACTAGATAACTGTGCTATTTTTTTCAAAACAGTTAAGCCTCTGTTCACCAACCACTTTTGGTTAAATATTCTAATTAGCAGTAGTAGGCAAGACCCAATTAGAACATTCTTTTCGCCTTTAAAAGGTGTTTCTTTCCTTTTTTTTACTTCGGGGTAAGTTTAATTATGACTAATCAAATAAAAGAGCGAAGTCATTTTTTACTTTTCTTTCTATCGCGAATAAAAGAGAAGAGGGGAAATAAAAACCCGTGTCAACTATTTTCTAATTCTTTGTCATCAAGTATATTTTATATAAGTTTTATTTTCTTAACCGCAATTTTTTACTAAAAAATATTTCCACAAACGTTTTTCTTTACCCAGATTGGCGAACAATGTGTTGGTTTTAAAATTATAAATTATGCCAACCACTAACCTAAAAAATATCACCATCCAACAAAAACAAGACAAGAACCTTAATTCTTATTATTTAATTGTTGACAATGACAATAATAACGCCTATTTTTGCTTCCCAAAAGCAGTAAAAAGTGGCTGGGAGGATTTGGTTAGTGATTATCAGAATATTACGGAAGTAGAACTGGAATTTGAGACTAACGAACGGGGGAATAACAAAGTAATTAGTTTGTATGCTTTTAGAGAAGGAGAGATTATTGCCTAATAAGTAATTTAGTTTAAAATACTGCCTTCACTATTTACTAATCATTTACTGGCAAAGAAGCACCAACTTCTACCTGACTTTCATATTCTACTTCTTGCTCCAATTCCCGATAATGACTTTTAGTTAGCAAAGGAGGAATTACACTAGTGCTTTCACCAACTTTTTTAGGTAGTAGTAATTTTTCTAATTCGCTCAACAATTGGGCTTTATACCTATCAGGAATATTATTAGGAACCATCCAGTTCATATAAGTGCTTCCGTGAGTTCCACAAACTTGAAAAGGGCTTAGTCCTAATTTATTAAACAAATTAGCAAGGATTGGTCAGTCTAGCCGAGAGAGAAAATTTAATCGTCCTTGGTTAACAATATTTAAAGTGATCTGACAAGGCGTACAACATAATTTAGTAATGCCAATATAACCGCCTCTTTTACTTAACTTTCCTCTGGTATGAAGGGTAGCCAATATTTTCATTTCAGCATGGACACCTTCTTCTTCCACACTTTCATCTACATATTGGATATTGGTCTCCTTTTTAATTGTGGCAAGCAAGCTTTTATCTAATTTTTGCTCGTAAATAGCGTTGGTGATAATGTTAGTATCTTCAATCAGCGATAAATATTCCCAATCATTATTTTCATTATATTTACTCTTTTTTTCGTATTCTGCCCTCTCCTCTTCCTCTATTTCTCCTCTAGTGAGATAAGTTTTAGCAGTTACTTTTTCCTCAACTAGTCTTCTTATTCCCTGGAATAACTGTTGGGCCTGCTCTTGAATTTGGGCGAGAGAAACTGACCGATTAGGCATTATTTCTCCTTTCGCTTTATACTTTTTATATTCTTTTTTATAATTGATTATTAATTTTTGAAAATCAACTAATAGAGGTCAATTAGTTGGTTCCCCACGGAATTTTTGCCGGCGACTGGTGGCAGTCTCCTTAACTTTTAGCGAGTAAATTTTCCTGACGGCTAACTCCAACAACTGTTCGTAATCTTCCTGAGCCAAAGAATTGGCAAATCTTTGTAGCACTAGTAAATATTTTTTAGCGTATTTTGGTTCTGATTTATTACTGGCTATAAATAACTCGTCACTTCAGTGATAAATGGCAACGCAAATTTCTTTGCCGGTTAGCAATCTTGCTAAAGTGTCAAGATATTTATAATGAGGCTTGGATATGGTATCTCTATAAGGTTTAATACTGGCTCAAGAATGTGCTTTGCCATCTTTTTCTAAGGTAGCTAACTCCGTAGTTATTTGTTTTATTCTTTCTCGCTCATCAGCCATTCTATTTATTATTTACTTGCTGATTAAACTGGATTTCCGCAGAGGTTTTATATTTTTCCACTAAATCTTCATAAATTTTAGCATAAGAATAATCTTTTTGCCAGAATACATCGCTAATGGTGAAACCATTATCCGCTTTGACTTCAACGTTTAGGTCTTCTTGTTGAAGCAATCAGGCAATAATTTCTCAATCTTCTCCTTCTTTGATTATTCCGGAGGCGGCACTGTGGAGGATGGATCAATTATAGTTATTGACCGCATTAATGTCGCCTTTTTGTTGACCGTATTTATTTTTCACTAGGCACTTGAGGAGTTTTAAATTATTGCCTTCGGCCGCAAAATGTAGGGGAGTATTACCTTCGCCATCTTGTGCATTAGGATTGGCTTGGCTGGCAAGTAGAAGTTTGGTCATCTCAAGATAATCACGGGCCACTGCGATATGTAGGGGGGTAAAGTCGTTAGTTGGGTCATAAATATTAACGTCTATTTCTTTTTCGGCGACTAGATTTTTTACTGTCTTGATATCGTTGTTCTCTACGGCTGTAAACAAAGCAGAGTTATCTTTTTGGGTTTCGGGAGTAGTTTGTTTATTTTTTAACTTTAGCATATAAATTATTTTTAGTTTGTTTTATATATAATTTTGTTTAGGACGCAAATATTTAAGACTTTTCAATCAATAACTGTTATAACTTTGCTGTAAAACAGAAGAATATTTTTTTCGATAAAAAAATATCTTTCTAAATACTCTTTAAGAAATACCTAAATATACCCCTGCCTCGGCCTCAAATATTTCAAACTTTTCAATCAATAACTATTGTAACTATCCAAATATTTCT